GCTAAAGAAGATAAAAACCGAGTATAGAAGAAAATGGAATGATTTCGCCTTCAAATATATCTGTATTTCAGTTGTTAAGGGTTGACTGTCAGTATAATGAGGGCGTTAAAAGTAAGGATACTAAAATTGGGTATTTTAAGTAATGATTAATGTAATTCCCTTTTTTTTCTAAAGGTGAAAAAGTGTAAGGTAGCAAGTTCAATTTATTTAGTTTTGGATTTGTTAACCGTTTATATTCATTTTATCATTTGTTTAAGCTGTGATTAGTTAGTTTTACATTTAAACGATAATTCACGATCTAGTTATTCACATCAATTTTAAGTATCAGACTGACACCAGTTTTCCATAAGGGTGACTTGTAAATGTTAATATTGTTAAAGAGTATGTAAATAATGATCACATGATTTTAAATCTCTTGGTCTAACTAGTTAATTATTGCAGCTTAGCTTGTCTTTGAACTCAAAGACGTCCCGTAACCTGAGCCGGAAGGTAGAGAAGGTGAAGATAGAACATGAACGAATTTTCTTTGTAAGGTATATGTACTTAAACTGGGCAGGATTCGTGGTGTCAGTATAATAATATCCTAAAAAGTAAGGATACGAAAATTGGGACTTTATGAACATTGATTAATGTAATCACTTTCTTTTTTTGAAAGGGGAAGGAATATGAGGTAGCAAGCTTTATTTTTTATTTCTTTGTGGTTTTGTTTTCAGTTCGTTTATTATTCTTTCTATTGTTTAGTTAACCTATAAAATTTTAATTTTACGTTTACACGCTACCTCGCATTCTAATTAACTACGTCATTTAAAGCTTCTAAAAGTTATAAGACTGACTTAAGTTTCATGTATCGGTAACTTTCAGATTTTAATGTTGCAAAAGAGTATGTAAATAATGTTACAACTTATTGTAAATATTGATATTATCACGAGAGATAGTAAGTGTTACTGGTTGTTTAAAACTTTATACACTGTAGTTTTGTAAATATTGTCTTTTACAATTCCTTTTATTTATAGAAATATTAATCCTGATATTTATGATAAATTGTTCTTTCATGGTAGTACAAAGTTCTGGCAATGGGAATACCCATAAACTACATCTAAACTATATAATTAGTTTTAAGGGGTCAAAAAAGGATGTCTTTGAAAAAACTAACAAAATACCCAATATCACCTACAACCGTGGGAAGAACGAACAGAACTATTTACAGGTATTAAACAGACATTATCTAAAGTTTAAATGAATCGAAAGATACAGCGTGAACCTTACAACAGTTAATATCTTTCGGACACCGTTAAAATTATTTAATTTACTAATGCTGTTACTAAGAATATATTTATCTTTATTAATTTTTTCTTATTCTAAAATATATTCTCGTATAGAATGGACTGTCTAAACTTATTTATGTTACTCAATTTTTTATATTAAAAAAAATCAATTCAATGGTAGAACAATTTTACTTTTCTAAATTAAAATATTTTCTCGAAACTTATTTCTATACCAGAAAATGCTAATCGTTCTATATCGTTGCAGAAAAAAAAAGTGGCAAAAAAAGGCTTGGACAGCGCCCCCTCTACATTAACAACTTATTTCGACGTGTCCACATCTCATCCTTCGAATTAACGAGTCATCTGCTCAACCTAGATGGTCTTGAAACTCCAGCACTCCCTGTAAGGTAAACCAGAGCAGGAAACTAGATGAGATCAACCTGAAGAGTTGAGAACAAAAAATTTGTCCTAGTATCTGTACTTAACTTTGGGGGGGGGGGATTCATAATGTCAGTATAACGATGACCTTAAAAGTAAGAATACTAAAATTAGGAATTTATAAGGAATGATTTAATATCATATTTTTTGTCTAAAGCGTAAGGAGTGTGAGATAGCATATTCTATTGTTATTTTGTTATGGATTTCTTTACCGTTTATTTATTATTCATTCTATCGTTTAGTTAACCTCTGGATTTTTATTTGCACTTCAACGCTAACTCACCTTCTAGCTAATCTCATCAATTTTTAATTTATATGAATTATGATACTGACATCAGTTTCCCATATCAGTGACGTACAGATATTAATATTGGTAAAGAGTATGTACATGATTTGTTATTTAATTATTGCAGATTTAACTGGTCTTATAACTCTAACTTCGTTAAGTTGAATCAGAGCCGAAAGATAAAGTCGAATTTATAAGAAAGTGGTTTCTCCTTGTACTGTATCTGTAGTTAAACAGTGTAGGATGTCAGTATAACGTTACAAGCAAGGACTTAATTTTAAACTGATTAATGTAATCACTTCTAAAGGGGAAAGTGTGAAATAGAAAATTGAATTTTATTTTGTTTTGAATTTGTTTACAGTTATTTCTCATTCTATCATTTAGTTAATCTGTAAATTTTTGATTTGCATTTTAGTTATTCACATCAATTTAAAATTTTAATTATGATATCGACACCAGTTTCTCATAGCGGTGACTTATAGATGTTAATGTTGGTAATGAGTATATAAATAATGATCACATTATTTCAAATCTCTTTATCTAATTAATTATCGCAGCTTAGCTGGTCTTTGGACTTAACTTCCCGTAACCTGAATCAGAGCAGAAGGTAGAGAAGCTGAAGATCTGAAAACACTACGCCTTTTCTTTGTAAGGTATATGTACTTAAACTGGGCAGGATTCATGGTGTCAGTATAATGAGGTCATTAATAGTAATGGTACTAAAATTGGGAATTTATAAGCAGTGATTAATGTGATCACTTCGGTTTTCGAACGGGGAAGGAATACAAGGTAGCAAATTCTGTTTTTATTTCGATATGGTTTTGTTTTCTGTTCATTTTTTATTCTTTCTATTGTTTAGTTAACCTGTAACATTTGTTTTACGTTTAAACGCTACTTCGCATTCTAATCAATTACGTCATTTTAAAGTTTCTAAAAGTTATGAGACTGACACCAGTTTCCATTACCGGTGACTTGCAGATATTAAAGTTGTAAAATTTTTAATTTAGTGTTCCGAATAAAGACTTTGTCATGAGTTTCAATGACTTTAATCACGTGAGATGGCGCTGAAGTGTTTTTGTTGTTATTCGATGTTTTATACACGTTTTTCTTCCGTTACTTTATCTATTTATTTATACAAATTTTATCTATTTATTTATATAAATATTAAACTATTATTGATGGTATGTTTTTCTTTCGTGTTAGTGGAAAGTTCTGACCATCGGCTCATTCATGTATTGTATGCGAGCTATTTGATAGTTTATAAGGGGTCAAAAAAAGGACTTTTTTGGAAACAAAATATCCAACATTACCTGCAACCGTAGATGAACGAACAGATCTACCTAGAAATGTTATACAGAAGGCAATATCCAACGTTGAAAAACATCGGAAGCTACATCGAGAAGCTTAAACCCGTTAGTCTCTTTCGGACAAAATTAAAAGTAGGTAACTCTCTACTATCGTTAAGAATACATCAAATATGTTCTGGAGTGAATCTTACTGAACGTTATTCTAAGACTGAATGAAAAATTTAAAGTTACGACTTGTATTTCTCCATTTTTATATAAAGTAGGTTATATCGAGTTAATAGGACAATTTTACGTTTCTAAAATTAATTTTTCCAGTGATTTTTATATGCCGTTCCAGAAAATTTAAATGGCGCAAGAAGGCTTTAAGATTGCGGCTTCCCTTCCATCAAAATAAAGGACTTATTCTGGTGTGTCCACATCTAATCCTTCGACGTAACGTACTGAAGAGGCATGTATGTCCTCTGCTTAACGTAAGTGGTCTTTGAACTCGAACACTTCCTCTAAAGTGAACCAGAGCAAGAAAGTAGAGAAGATGAAGATTCATGAACATGAATTATTTCTCTTTGTAAGGTATCT